CCATGTTGAAAGGACACTAAAAAAGAAAGGACTTTGACTCAATAGTCATGCTATCCTGCAGATACTATTGTTCGGTTAAATATATTTCGTACAAACATGGTACTAAGATTGAACATCGACCAAATAGAATTAGCAACACGAGATTGGATTTGCAAAGTTCAAATTGTCGAAATCGGACACCCGCGAGAAAGTGCTGCCAAGAAATGTACATTCCAAAATTTGATTTTGGAAGATGAAGAGGTCAGCTCATTATTATATTTTATCTTATGAATATTCTTCTTTTTCTTTTTACCTCATGTGAACATTTCTCTTTGGTTTTTGTACGAAAAGCAATAAGGAATGGTTCCAAAAGTAATACAAGTTGTACCATATGTGGACCCGCTTCATTAAATAAATAATTGTACCTACTAAATGTAATACTACTTTTATTTATTTGTTCTTCTCTTATGAAACAAGTTGTACTTGAAGTGTTCTTCTTCTTCTCTTATTCCCAAATTCTAATGTTGCTTGAATTTCTTTTGCACCTTTTTCATCTACTGTAGCACTTCTTCGATTTCAGGTGTGTTGGATACTCTTGCATGTGTTTTCCTTTTATTATATTTTTTGGGTTCTGCTTTGGAATTTCTTTGCATCCAAATAAGACCTAATCTCAGCTTTCTATAACTCTTACTTTCAGGAATGCCAGATTAAGGAAGTTATGTATGCCGATGAAATTGAGCAGTATGCAGATAAGCTTACACTCATCAATACCTACCTCATCTCTACTGCAAAAGTCAAAGTCTCGCCAACTTCATACGGCAAGCCAAAACATAAATTTTACTGGATTCTTGACAAAGAAACAGTAATTGAACATATCAAACCATCTAATGAACTTGAGAAACCACTTCCACCACCAACCAAGTTGAATATCACAACCTTTGAGCGCATTCCTCATATGATAGTTGATTCTGTTGCTGAAATTGGTATATCGATCCTAATAGCTACTATCAGGCTAAAATATACATGTTTACTGAAACACACACTTACAACATTTCATTATGTATTATATAACCAGATATACTGGCAATCGTTATTCGTTGTGGTCCTCAAAAATACGCAGATCGCAGTCATCATAAGTGTCGAGAAATTACCCTTTGTGACAATCAGTAAGTATAAGATTTCACCTTCTATTTTCCCATTTTCTGAAAATATTTTGAATGAGTAAAGACTTTTTTGATTTGTTTGATCGGATCATCAGTTATGGTCTGGGCGTTATCATAGTACTTAGTCTTCTCTCCTCATGTTCTCAGGAAAAATCAGTTTCTCCTCACTCTATGGGAAGATTTTGGAGAAATAGAAGGAAATGAAATTGCAGCTAAAATGGCAACAGAGGAAGATCTGATTGTAATCCTCGGAAGGAGTATAGGAATCTCTACTTATCAAGGTACACATGCGCTGAACTTTTTTCTAACATAATTTTAGATAATAACAAAACATTAAACAAGCTATGTGTTATACAGGGTTGTCACTGCAGACTAGGTTCAATTCCACAGTATGTGTGGATCCTAATTACCCACAGGCAGTAGAACTGATCAACTGGTACTCACATTTCATCATTATTCTCTAGCTTTAATTTACATGTAAACAACCTACTAAACATATTATATGTTATAACAATAGGGCAAAAGAAATAAAAAAAAATTGTTAAGTCGTGCGTCAGAGCAAACCTCAACAAGCTCATATGTCTCTCCCATGATAGTGACTCCTGTTGGCCAACAAGTTATCTCTATTGCAGAAATGTCATCAGCAACTTCTGTAAGTCATACTTGAAGCTGGTCATTTGAGAGTATGCTTATTACTTTTCTCATTGTCTAGATTTGGCTAAATAATAAAAACAAATTATATTTACTCATGAGTAATTTAACACGTATTATGTATATGATATTTTCCGACAGATAGGACTATTCTATGTTGAGGCAGAAATGGCCATATCATATGAATTCCAAGAGTTTTGTGTGCTTGAATGCTCAGGATGCAAACAGAAGAAGCGCACAAAGGATAGAAAGGCTTTTGAATGTCCAAAATGCAATCGCAAAATAGCATTAGTACCTCGGTACTATACTTTTGACTTGTAAATTACAGTTTGTACAAAATATTGCGTATATTATACACAAATTTTAAACTTGCCATGATTTCAGGTGTATCTTTCAAATTGATCTTATTGATGGTACTGCTACAACCACAACATCTATCTCTGCTAAATTGGGAGAAAAATTACTCTCCATGACAGCGGAAGACATATTTGACATAACTTGCGCTAAGGTGATCTCTCATTCCCGCTGGCTACTTATACACATGTATTGTCACAATACCATATATCTTGAGCAGAAATAGTTTAGCATATATGCTTAGTTCTAAAGTGTTTGTTGTAACTCTTTACATTTACAGCGGCAATCATTGTCTCTTAATCATGTCCATCAGATGTTGTCAAACAAACTATTTCAAATTCAGCTAAGGAAGTCATCTTGGGGTAGCTCAAATAGCACGCATGCAACTTTGTCCATTCTTTCCTACATGGAAAAGGAACATACTCCACAGAGCACTATTGATAGGAATTCTAAAAAGATAAGGCCTTTGGAAATAAGTGAAGGTGGAGGTGATGACAACAACTACTACAGCTGGTTCTTCAAATGCGACGCCCGAAAATTTGAACCACCCACACCAACCAAAAAGGTGTAAAAGGTCAGTCTACATCTGACTTTCACACCAAACTATAAGTCACCATGATTAACAATTCCAAATATTTAGAAGTATTTCAAAAAGTTGTGGTAAAAATAAAAACACAGTTTTAAAAACTAAAGGTGGAATCATTGAGGTATTCGAAGAATATTGTTCATAATGTGATCAGTAAGTTGCGCAAGTCTTTTGAAATCCACGAAGTATACCACTGCAAGAATTTACAACCCACTACATTTTTCTCCCTTCAAATTTATCATTCATTTGGAATTTCAAATTTGTTTAACTGTGTTGGATTTTGATCATTCTGAGTTGGATTACTAATGTAATTAAATTCCTTTATAGGAAAGAAAGTATGGAGAATGAAGAATCTGAATTAGATTATTTTAGTTTTAACAATTGAGCAGCTTCATTACTTCAGAGTTAGGACCAGCTCTTTGGGCAGTGATCTGTGTGTGTTTCTCAAGTTATTAAGCATTCAAATGTCTTCTATTTTTAGGGAAATGCATTATACTAATTACAGAGCTGATCACAAAGAGATTCAACAGGGAATCTATCACTTTTATCATGATTCCATGACTTTCTATTTGATACCTAATGAGCATATAAGTTTAGCTTCAAAGTTTTGCTTCTGAAAATTCCATTTGCTCTTTTCCAGTTACTGTACTAAAAATGTGCCAGTTTGGAGGGTAATATTTAAATTGTTTTGCTATGTGTTGCCATATTTTCAGTTTCTAACAGACTTTAAACTGTCTAATTATAGGAACTCCCTCACTCCATTTTGTCACTTTTGCTTAATAGGAGGAATAAAATGAATCAGTCTCCCTATGCTATGGTTTTTTGAATGAAGAAGATTAGCTACTAAGAAGCGAACTCCAGCATCCTCTACATATGATAAACAATGACATGCCATTCTTATATACCATAACTGAACTAAAACATCTGCTATATTATTTTGGTTGTATTATATTAGTTAGTATTTGCAGATCGTTCAAATCAACATCATACTGATGTCTGTTGTACATATTCTGAATATTTGTAATATTATATAATATAATATAATATATGATATTAGAATGTAAAGTGAGCTTTCAAACCAACAAGAGAATACTCAAAAGAAGAGAAAAGAGAGTCCACAATAATAGCATTAAGGCAATTAACTACGTTCAAGAAAGGGTATAGGAATTAAATATTCATTCCCTCATTTCATACAAGAACATACAACATCAAAAGAGGAAAAAAGAAATGTACAGTTGATGTTTGTCATGGCAACATTGGAAAGTCCAGAAGTTGTGAAACCACTAGAATTTGAATGACAGATAAAAGCAGAATGTTTCCAACAACGTCTGCAACATTCTCCTTTCCTTTTCTCTCAACATTTAATTTCTTCTACTTTATAGATGATTTGTTATTGTGTACAATTAATAGATTCAATAAGCATACTTTGTTCCTTACTTATTACGTCATCCTTTTTACTATTACACACATAATTTAAATAAATTGTTTCCTTGTAATTTGTGCTTTATATATTTTTCAGCAATAAAATTTATCATCAACGGTGAGCACATTTATTATGTTGGGCCCATGCTGAGCACGGGCCATCCCCATCTAGTATATATATATACATTTTATTGAGGTGTTTGTAATCCTCAAGAATCACTAACAATAAAATGGGGGAAAATAATTATTTTATCTTGAACTTCTAAAATGATAAATAATTTAAATAATTATTGTTAGAAATCATGACAGATAATTTGAACAGAGAAACAATAAGCTTAGCCTATAAGGTGAAGATAAAGGTCAACGGAGCTAGGGTATTGCCCTATTTGAAAAGGATTCAGATGAACCTCTTTTGTAAAATTATACTATTATAAACTTTTAACACCTATCTCATTAAATTACTTAAGTAAATTGAAATGGATGTCCCTTTGAGGGAAAGTATTCCTCCAATTCTTTTTTAGTCATAGTTCAATATTTTTTTCTCAATTGATTTATTTCTCCAACTAAACTCAGTTGTGGTCCAGTGATGAGACTGCTTCACCCTTAATCAGAGGTTTCAGGTTCAACCCCTGGGTATAGACAAAATCCTGTTGGGAGCCCGAATACCGAGTGGGAAATCAAAAACAAAAAAAAACTAAACTCAGTTGTGTAAATTTTCCTTCTGAAAGGGCATTTTTCCTATTGGGCCCTAAATGTCCAATGGGCCTATTCTGTCAGAGCCTGTAGGCCCATCTTGTTCTGTTGCCCAATTTTGGCCACCCCGTGGATCGGAATGATGGTCCATCTAAAACTTGCAAGGGTCATTTTCACTTTTGTCCTTATTTTTTTTGTTCATCTTTAATTTATGTTCTTCGTAACTAAAAAAAAAAGTCACAAGGTGTATATTTATATTTTTGTATTTTAATATTTCATATATTATGTTTAAATATGAATTTTGTTTCTAAAGAACCTATATCCCATTAGGTGTAAATTGATTGCTAAGGAAAAAATAAATGAAAAAACAATCATATTTAGGACAAAAATTATAGATTAGTTCATTTTAAGGCAAAATGTACAATTTCGTCAAATTGCAAGGAAGTAATAGACTGAGCTCGACTACAAATTTACGCTGTATGTATCTATCTATCTCAATATATATTTATTGAAGTGATAAGGGGGATGGTAGTTCGTTCAGTCTATCCAGCAAAAGCTTCTAGCCGAATACTTCTATACTCTCCTATCAATAACATGTCTCTCGCCTAAATAGAGGCAAAAGACCTATTCAAGATCAACATTATGATTATAAGGATCATAATAGTTCTTGAACCAACAGAAGATGAATTGGGACGAGAAGTCCAGACACAAAAGAATACTATTTCATGATTTGATTGACCTCAGACTGAACCATTCAATAAATTAGTAAGCGTGCCCGCGCAATGCGCTGATAATATTGAAGTATTATTTCTAAACACTTTAAATTGTGATGTTTTGTTCGGGCATGTTAAATGATATTGTTACCTTAAGAGAAGTCCAACCACCATATTGTTCCTCAATAAAATATACTCTTATTCCACATCCCGCCTCACCCAACCCCATATCACCCATAATAATCTATACAAATAGAGACAACGAATCATGTTTTAAATTCGCCCTGAATAAGATCATATTCACACACATAACTTTAGCCTCATAATTTTTTGTACTACTAACTATTTAGACAGAATGTCTGATTCTATTCACTTTAGAATGTGAGGTCCCAACTCCCCATGAAGGATTATCCTTCTCTTTAATTTCTGTACCACTAATTTTATAATATATGTCACATAACTTTTCATTTTCACAAACTATTATATCCCCCCTCCTCTTTTTAGTGGGTAGGGGCAGGTTTTGAGGGGTGGGGGGGGGGGGACGTAGAAAAAGTTACATTTGATTTGGTCCCTCACAAAATTGAGAATATTTGTCTAAAGCACCCAAGACTGGCCTTTTTTCTCAAATTAATTAATTCATCACTTATAGTTTTAATCATTTATCTTGGGAGTAACATTTTATATCCTATAATTATTTTATTGTATTGGTTTCCTCGCTAAATAGAATATTCAGAAAAGTAGTAAACTTAACTTTAATTTTAAGATGCACATAATACCAGCATAATATATGAGCCATGTAAAATTGCATGCAAAATATTATTTCTATTGGATTGTATTATGAATGTTGTAGGTAATTAGATTTAGCAAAATTATCTAAAGACACATAAATTTCATCGTAAATGTAAAATACTTATACAAATAAAAATGCGGGAGAGATAAAAAAGATGCAGGATCGTTTGTCTGTTTGGCTAGTCAAGCATGGGATAATTCATAGAACTTTGGGCTTTGATTACCAAGGAATAGAGACTTTACAAATAAAGCCCGAGGATTGGCATTCCATTGCTGTCATTTTTTATGTATATGGGTACAACTATCTACGCTCTCAATGTGCCTATGATGTAGCGCATGGCGGGCTGTTAGCTAGTGTGTATCATCTTACGAGAATAGAGGATGGTGTGGGATCAACCAGAAGAGCTATGCCTAAAAGTATTTGCCTCCAGGAGGAATCCTAGAATTCCGTCTGTTTCTGGGTTTGGAAAAGCGTGGATTTTCAAGAACGAGAATCATATGATATGTTGGGAATCTCTTACGATAATCATCCACGCTTGAAACATATCTTAAATGCCTGGAAGTTGGATAGGATGGCCCTTACGTAAGGATTATATTACCCCATTTTTTTATGAAAATACAAGATGCTCATTGAATGATAAGAAAGCTATTTCCACTTAGACAATTTCAGATATTCAAGGATTGCACATTTTGTTATAGATTAAGATACAACAAAATTCGAAAGTTTCTTTTACTTTCTTAAATTTTGTATCAAGACAAAATTAGATAAACAAATTGAAATAAGGAGAGTATCCAATCTTTCATTGTACGATCATCGTCACACTATCATTCGTTGCATAACAATTCCTGCGTTATTAATCAGTGCATAAATATTTTTCTCTATGACTAATTTTTTTCTTAAATGTGAACCAAACGACTCTTAATAATAAGCAAGGTAAGATTTAATAATTAAGAAGCTTAAAGACTAAGTAAGCAAAGATCCTCTTGAATTCTTAAAAAGCAAAATAAACAAAACAAAAATAGACAAGTGAGAAATAAACCAAGTACCTAATTGTATATATGTACATAATTGTATAAAGTCCTTTGTCCACTTTATTCAACCTCCTTACTCCTTATATATATTCTCAATTCTCTTTAGCTTTATTCTCTCTTGCTTTCTCCCTTTCTTTCTTTCTTCCTCCATTTTGATGTGATATTCTCCACTAACAATATCCCATTCCAAACTTTTACAAAAGTGAATTTTACATTATTCAAGAAATTAAACTATGGTTTTTTCCTCTATTTCTGCTTATCTTGATCCATCCAACTGGCAACAGGTATGTTTTTTTTTTTGAAACAATAATATGATGATTCTAAATTCTAATGTCAATAGCTAGCTTCTTGAACAAAAAAAAGTAAAGAATTCATAAAAAGATAAATATTCTTATTCAACTTTTATTTGTATTTTAACTTCTTTAAATTATTTGTAGCATATACTAAACAATTTTTTTAATTCATTTTTCAGCAAGTTGGATATAGCATCCCAAATCCTCAGCTTCTATCAGGACTATCACAACCAACACCACCGCCGCCACTAGCGAGTACTACTCCTCCTCCACCACCACCACCACCTCCACATCAGCCTCATCATGTGGGTGGTGGTGGAGGTTCAATCAGACCAGGCTCGATGGCAGATCGAGCCCGGTTAGCAAACATACCAATGTCAGAGGCAACTCAAAAATGCCCTCGTTGTGAGTCAACAAACACAAAGTTTTGCTACTTCAACAACTACAGCCTCTCCCAACCTCGTCACTTCTGCAAGACCTGCAGAAGGTACTGGACGAGAGGGGGCGCTTTGAGGAGCGTCCCCGTGGGTGGAGGCTGTCGTAGGAACAAAAGAAGTAGCACTAGTAGCAGTAGTACTACTACTATTACTAGTGCTAAATCCAGCAATAATAATAATACTTCCAAATCTCAAGCTACTAATTCTGGTTCCACAAGCAATAACAATAGTACTTTTTCTAGTCCATCATCAGCAGCTAGTTTATTAGGTCTTATGAACCCTCCAATTCACCCTCTACGTTTCATGTCCCCGTTAGGACAATTGACTGATCAACACTTCACCCCAAACGAAATGAATTACACATCAATTTCTTCGTCATCACCAGCTCCAATCGTCATGGGAACAAATGAAAACATGAATTTTCAGCTTGGAATGGGTAGCAACTTAGAGCAATGGCGGCTACATCAACAA